GACAAATTGCTTCGTTTGATTTTCCACAGCCTCAATCTTCTTCTCCCGTCCTCAGCAAGAACACCCTATGAGCCTTCCGCCGACGCCAAGAATCCCCCCGATTCAATATTGGGTTTAGAAGAAATATATGCTTACTTTTCCTTGTAATTTTCAGAACCATTAAATTGGATTGAGCTCAAAATCGCCTGAGAAATCTGAGAGGGAATAATCACAATTTTCCCTGTGAGTTCGTTTTTAATTGGAGGAGACATGCCGACGCCTGAGGGCTCATGCGATGTTCTACCTTAGCACGGAGGGGTTGATTGGCAACGTTCCACCCAGCCACATTTCTCATCGAATAAAATGACTTGAATCTTTAGTCTGTGACAGGCTCCGATTGACTCCGGACATATGCTAGACGAGTACGCGATAGAAATCAGAGGAGGAAGAAGATGAAAAAGAAAAGGGTAATAAGATGAAGGAGAAAAGAAGGAAAAAGAAAGAGGAAAAAGAGAAGAAAGTGGCGGAAGGGAAGAAAAGGGGAAGGAGGAAGAGGAAGAAAGAGAGAGAAGAGCAGAAGGAGAGAAGGAGAGAAAGAAAAGATAGTAGAAAAGAAAGAAAGGAAAAAAAGGGTAGAAGGACAGAAAGAAAGGAGAGAGAGCAAGGAGAACATGAAGAAGAGGTAAACGGGAAGAAGAGGAGGAAAAAGAGAAAGTAGAGAGAAAGAAAGAAGAGATGACGATGAGGATGAAGAGATAAAAGAGATAGATAAGGGAGAAAATGAAGGCGAGGGAAGATAAAGGGGGGTCGGATGAAAAAGAATAAGATGGGAGGGATAAAATAGATAAGGAAGAGGAGAGGCAAGATGAGAGAAAGAATGCAGATGTTTTATTCAGTCGACTTATCATAAATTTCAAATCACGCGAAAATGCCTGCAATTTTCCGGGTAGGCAACTCGCGATCCGGGTTGTTAAAATATTTGCTCCAACGATTTCAATCATAGTTTCGTGGTCGCACGCGCGTTGTTCCGATCTTGGTAGCATTGAGTTTAATTTTGCCAGGTCATGGTCCTTTTTCTTTTAATTCTGCCGCCATGAACTTTATGACATTTTTTTTTAAACAATAAAATTATTTAGGACATTAATACTTAATAATTATTTGGTTGGTTTTAATTATTTTATGCAGCTGAGTGATGCAGTCCGCCTTTCTGTTTTTCAGCTGCTGTTGAAGCGTGTCTATCCCAGGGAATTCGTAGACGTGTTCTAGGTTTATTTAAATCTGGTTCTACGACAGCTCTATTACATAAAGTTGCCAAGAATTTTGAGCCGGCAGCGGTTATCTCACAGAAAGTCCAAGATATTGAAAATTCAGATCCAAATAGGTAAGAATGTAGCTATGCTCGTATGAACATAGGTATGAATATAGTAAGGTGACTTGAGGCGTCCACTTTATTCGGAAGGATTCTTTGTTTTAATAAATCACGATGAACTTGATCGTGTTTCTAAAAGTTTATAAAATAATATATTATAATTCCAAATCCCGTAATATTCAAAAGCAATCGCTTTACATTAATGAGGTTTTCAAATTCAGAAAGACTACATACTTAAAACTATCTTGATGTGGACAAATGGACTACATTTTGCAATTAGGAACTTCAATTTCTAGCTCAGTTCAGAAACAACGTATGTACCATTAGTTTCCATATGCACATAAGTGTTTTTACAGATGAGCTAGAAATTACAGTTCCCTATTGCAAAATGTAGTTCAAATGACATGCCGTGAATCCACGACACTGTGGACAACCGTAACTTCAACGCTGTTCATGCGGACGAATGAAACTTATAATCAAAATGGACATTGGACGACCCCTGCCATTAATTCCAAACACGTCTCGGATCATGGCTAGGTGTATACATGAGGCAATTTTCTTACCTCGGTGCTGCAAAATCAAGCAAATTACTTAAACAAATTCCACGTTCCATTTTTCCTCGAACTTGAAGAGAATGATACTTCTTTCCATTTTAATTTCAGGCCGTCCTCCTCTAGTGGTGAAAGCACCAACCGGTCTTCCTTAATTTTATCCAACAGTATTAGCGTGACGAAACCACCGCTTCAAAAGAAGAACTCTGCGAATAGTGGTTTGTCGTCACAACCTCCCAGGTACCTCTGGATCCGCCTCGCTTTATTTGACAAAGTTTTAGCACGTATCATCGACCATCTAGTTCAAAATAGCAGGTAACTACTCTTTGAATTTTAGAAATGGACACATTTACACCAAAAGCACCCTATATCAATTCTGACATGAGCCCTTAGATCCATAAGAATACATGCATCTCAGGGCTCAAGTTACGATGGGTATAGTTCCTTTAGATTTAAACGCGTCCAAATAATCAAATTGGCAGTTATGAACTGTTGAGATTAGTTCTTAGAATCGCCATTTGCAGTTTTATTCGACACACAGTGGATCGAGTCAATGGAAGAGGTCGGACAAAATTTGGAAACTTTGCAAGCTCATAACAAAACTTTGAGGTTTTAAAAGCGGTGCCATTTGTTTCCTCGTGAAATTCTATACTAGGAGCACACCTTAAAATTTCAAATGTCACGAATTAGACATTAAAATTTGCAGTTTTAGTTAAAAATTTCATGTCCGACCTCTCTGATTGACTCGATCCACTGAGCGGCAGTTTATTCATCATTAGAATACTTTTAAAAGGACAATTTTTCTCTTCGCTGAGTAATTTAATTATCACCACTGAAGTTAATTGAAAATAAACAGCTCTCCTGCGTGATTTCTGTGCTGCTGCACTTTCCTTTTAGCTTTTGTTTCCAGGGTTGCCATAGATTCTTCATCCTCAAATTCCTTGACTTTTTTTGCTCTTCCCTGACTCCAAAAAATTCTGATTCTCTTACCTTTTTTGTGTTGATAAATTGCGCTTTTACGCTTAATCATTAATTCGAAACATGTTTCTTTTTTTGTTGTTCTTTACAGTAAATATTACGAGAAAGACTCACTGATTGCGGATGAAGACTATGGATCAATTCTAAGTTCTCTTTTAGGTAATGCCAACACATCAATTTAATTTCCACTTATGTCTGCATCATTGATGAAAGTTCTTTTCCTAAATCACCTTCCTTAACTAAAGATAGGAACAGCAAAGAGAGAGAATTCTTTAGGAAGAAGAAGTAATGAAAGCATTCCCTCTTATATTTTACCTATTATGGAGTCAAAGAGGTATAAGAGGAGGCTATGAGAGGTCATTATGGTATAAGAAGAGAATTAATTACCTAAATTTCAGAGTAATACACCAATATTTTACCTGCCGATGACAAAAAACAGGGAAGTGTCCGTTATTGGTCGAGCAAGGTTTTGTCGGCCTCCTGTCGTGTAAAGGATGTGGCGCTAACCGCTGGCTCTACACTGCCGTACTAAGGAAAAACGCCGTATGAACATTCAGGCGTTGCCATATTTTCTTCAATGTAAAACGAATTTCCCCGGAAATTTTGAATATTTTTCTTCCAATTTTTCAGACAATTTTGTTCGCAATTCAATTTAAAATATCTGAAAATTTCGAGGAAAAACACGCACAACTTTCTTCATAAATACATTTTTTATTCGGGGAAATTTGGCAACTCTCGAATGTTCATACGGCGTTCTTCCTTAGCACAGCAGTACACAACTAGGGGGTCCGGGGTTGGACTCGAGTTTGATGGTCTCAAATAACGGTTGCCTCGGACTGGTATGAAGCAGGGACTGAAGGGGGACATGGGGCTTTGGCTAAAAGCGCAGGATTATCACTTGTGTGGTGCTTCAAGAAAGAGCCGGGCAAGAAATAAATAAATAAAAAATTAGACCGTGGCCAGGAGTTTCGGCTATGCATTCTTGGACCGCTTGCAAACGACTTCCGACCAACAAGTTTAAGATAACTCAGTTTAGGATTTTTAAATTAGGTATAATTGCTGCTACTCTATGGTCAGCAATTTATGGAAACTACCAGTGTAATGAGAAACAACTTAATCAGCCAAAATACACATAATAAAAGAACAACTTAATTTGGGGAAAAGGCTGCAAATAAAGAAAAAGGAATAAACAAAACCCGGAACGTTTCAAAATAATAACAATTTCATTTTCAACCGGAAAATAAATTAAAAACAAAAACGAGCCGTCGCTACGCTCTTGTTGCGAGACCGAGACTGGGAGACTGCGAGACTACCAGTGTAATGATTACCCATGGTGGGAATAAGTAAAAAGAAGCTAGAATAATGATTCTTCCTGACTAGAAATTCATAGAATTAATGAATTTTTCAGTTGGACCCTGTGCTCTTGACTTCTCGAGAACGAAAACGCAAGACCACATGTGGACCGACCCGCCAGCCGATGAATTAGTACAACGACATAGGATTTCTAGTGGTCATTCTACACTGCCAGCATGTAGAACGCCTCATTTAAATGTTTGTATTCTTTAATTCTGCACCTTTTCTCATCGCATGCAGTGAAATTATTAAAATGTAATGTATCAAGCGATTTCAACCAGGGGAAGCCTTCCAGGAACCGTCTGCGTATTACGTCACGCTCTACACTGCCGTGCTAAGAAAGAACGTCGTATGAACATCCGAGAGTTGCCACATTTCTCCCCATAAAACATGTATTTTTTAGGAAATATGTGAATATTTTTCCGTGAAATTTTCAGATAGCTTGGATCAAATTGCAAACAAAATTATTAGAAAAATTCGAAAAAAAATATTTAACATTTTCCCAGTTAATGCGGTTTTTAGTAACGGAAATCTGGCAACGCCTGGTGTTTCATACGGCGTTCTTCCTTGGCACGGCATTACGGGGCAAAGGCTCAACATTTTTGTGACGGAAGGGTGTGACACTGCTTGGTGCAAACTGAAAATTCTTTACAATTTTTTCACTTTTTAGGGAGAAGAAAGACAAAGATCAACATTTTATAAGTGAAGTTATGGTATTAGCAAAGCGTGATGTAATTTTTATGCTAGAGGGGGGGGGGTTAAACTTAAGGGACAAAAGGGATGGGGGTTATGAAAATTCTAGGTTTCACCTTGACGCGCATTAATTAACGCAGTCTCTAAGTTGACATCTCTAAAGAATGCAGATGAATTTATAACATTTTTTTTTCTTTGAAAAAAGAGAAAAAAATGAAAAAATGATTATATCTTTCATTTATAAAAATGTCTCAATTCATGTGATGTTCATTTTTTCTTCCTCTTTTTTTATTTCGTCGGCAAAAATGAATAATCATTAATTCGCTCAACTT